GGCCCTTTAAAGGTCATCTAGTCCAAACCCCTTGCAATCAGCAGGGACATCTTCAATTAGATCAGGTTGTTCAGAGCCCTGTCCAACCTGACCTTGAATGTTTCCAGGAGATTGAGGCATCAGTAGTCCGCAACAGATGAGGGATCTAAAACCTCTCTGGTCAACCTCTTCCAACTATCATCTGAGGTTCCTTGACTCATGAGACATCTATATGGCTGTATGTAGTAGATTCAACATAGGAACTGGGAGACACTCATGGTCTTCTGGACTGGCAGTCAGAGGCAAGGAAAGACACCCTAGGCATCTCAGATGCACTTGTTAGAGGTCTGGGTATTGCTAACTTCTGCAAAAGTTGCAGTTTTTCTTTATGGAATCACATTGAGATTGCAGTACAGAGGCAAATATCTCTTCTTCCATGGCTGTATAACCTTAAGACTTTATATTACTGTACTGCCAGTTAGAGGTAATTTCCTAATGAATGCAAATCCATTACTATGTGTTATATAAAGGCTTATACGTATCACAGAGCGTTTCTGAGCTGTTATGAACACCCCAAGATTAAGTATGTCAGTGCTAAGGTAAAATAAAAGGCAGGACTATCGATAGAAAGAAGAATTCAAAACAAATAGGATCAGTAAAATCTAAGTATTTGAGTAAATTTTCTGTCCCACCTGCACAATGTCTCTTTCTGCAAACTTTCCTCTTGAAGAAATTCTCACTACATCACCATCCAGTTCTTCCATAGCTTAAAAAAAAGAAACAAAATGAATTAATCTATGAGTTCAGCTGCACAACAAAAACAATCTTACTGAGAAAAAGTTTATAGTCAGTTTACACTTTAGAGCAATAAAACCAAAAATTGTTATTTATGTAACTTCAAGATCACTTGTGCCATAAGACACATAATGCTTTGTAGTTATTTTGCACTTTTTCATGCTGACAATACATGCTTTCTGCCTTTATTGTCATCTTCAGAACAAAACAGATCATGATAAAGTCCTTATCCTTCCAGCTCTCAAACCAGCAAGTATATCTGTTTTGGTAAGACTATATTTATACTTTCATAGGTGGAGAAGAATTCATCTTCAGCAATTATTCTTACAGAAGATATCATAGGATACAGCATAAAGAGGTAATAACTCACATTCATACTGGAAAAGTAATGACTGTTAACTCACAGGAATGAGCAGTTCTTAAAAAAAAATTAAATTTTTTGGGTAACACTTGTTGTATCTTTCTGAACAGGATCCAGGTCCCCAGACACGCAGAAGCCATTCTAGGTAGAAAGGCATACCTACTCTCTGGTCAGTATTGAAATGGACGGACTTTGGATGACAGACTATTGCTCAGCTGCAATCCTACAACCCTTCTTTTAGCATAACCTATGAAAATCAAAACCCTGCATCACTAGAGCTTCTCGGGGGTTTACAATTGGGCTGAGTTCACTGAAACTAGCATTTCAAAACCTAGTTCTTCTAAAGCAAGAACTAGAAAGCATAAAGCATGCTATCAGGAGCCAAGTTCAAACCAAACAAAAGAACGTGTTCCTTCAAAGAAAAAATTACTTGGTCTGTAGAGTACACTGCCAGATGATGCTGTTGATGCAAAAAATGTACATGTGTCCAAACCAGGAGATTGAACAAGTATTTTAAGGAGAGATCCACTGAAAATTTCCAAAATAGACATAAAGCACATCCTGCTCAGAAAACTCAAATCGAAAAACAGTATTCAAGGGAAGTATTGTATTTACTTATTCTGTTGTTAACTTTCTCTAGTTAACCACCTATGGCCATGTCAGATTCAGAATACTGGGCAAACCAGACCCCTGGTCTGGCCTGTTACAGTCATCCTCACATCCTTAAGTAAAGATCTGCCAAATACACGTGCCATTTCTCTGAGCTCCAGACTTTTAAGAATCCCGTTTGTAGTCCCCAGGGGTTGGGAGATCTAGGGGGCAGTGATACCTGGAAAGGAGTAGCTTAGTCTCTCTACAGCAGAACTGAGGCTTGACTGGCATTTGAATTGCAAGACAGTGTGGCTGGAACACACACCCTCCTAGACACACAATTCTTCAGTGTCCATATCAGACATAGAGTCTGTTGTTTTTTCCAGAACGAACTTCTGAAGATGGAAAAGTCATTTCTCTGCCCTCTTGGGCACTGAAGGACTACTGATTTGGCACACATCTAACAGGTGAATTTCACTGAGGCAGTATACCATGGAGTGTGGGTCCAAAGATGGAAACTGTATCCTGCAGTACAAACAGAATCCTGCCTTAAGAAAAGTGATAGCCATGACACTCCAAGAATCCTGCAAAGACAACCTCCAGAAGTAAAAAAGAATACAGAATCTACAAGTCCTGACTGAGCTAAGGGGAGCCTGGGCAAATCCAAGGACCAGGCAAAGAGGGAGAAAGAGAAAAGGCAAAGGAGGAGGTGAGAGAAAGTAACGTACAACTAAAGTTGGAATTCTCAGGGGGAAAAGTTAAGTTTGCAAATTTCCCTCATATGCATTTATGAAGATAAACTGTCTTTTCTCGTTGCTTGTGTCATACAATCATTTGAGGTGTAAGTGTCCACCCAGACAATCTCTTCAAGGAATAAGATGCTTGAAATTATCACTAATATATCACTTGCCAAAAATTGTAAGAAAGTCAACCCTCAATAAATTATTTTTCTTGTGTTATTTTTTCCTCTTGTTTTCATACTCTTAGAGTATTTGAACAAAAATTAGTATGTATAGTCATTAGAGACTATTCGTATTATGCATCTGTGGTAGTACTAAGTACATTTTATGTACAAAAGAAGGCTTACTGTGTAACCAAAAGTACTAGAATTAAAAAGAAAGGACGTTGGACTTTGAGGAATAGATATACAGGGAATGTCTACACTTCATAGTGCAGTGACACACACGATGGCACTTAACAAATTAGCCCAAATAACAGAAGCAGCTTAGTTATTGCAATACAGAATGGCATTCCAGAACATCACATGAAAGAATATGTAAATAATCCTGGTAATTTCTCTCCTGCTGTAATATTCTCTCAATTCTGCTAGACAGTGCGGCTCATTCCTGTTATCTAGTGAAACCCAGCTTAACCTAGAGCATCTCCTCATTGTATTTATTTTTCTCAGTATATTATTACTGCAGTAAAAACAGATGATTAATATTTCCAGTCGACTGACACTTCACAAGGCCACTAAATATCTGTGTTGAAAAAATTCAACATTACTTGAGTATACTTACTTTACTGTGTTTTTTTTTTCCCCACTTATCTTCTGGAGCTCTGTAAATGCGTAGCCCCCATATGGTTCTGTGACTTGAACAGAGAGCCTGAGGGGCTACACAGCTCCACATGGTAGCTTGTAATCATACTGTGTTATCAATCAATCCAGCTGGAAATGTCAGCAGTGCTTACTGCTTGTTCCATATTATGCTCATTTGAAGAACAATGTTTGTTTGAAAAGACGCATATTACTAAAATGTAAACAAATATAAAAAATTCTAGGAAAAACACTAGAACACTTACCATCGAACTCTGCTGGTCCTACCCCCACTATAATTATTGACATTGGAAGCTTTGAAGCCTTCAAAAAAAGAAGCAAAAGAAGTTTAACACGTTACATAACCTCTGCAAATAATATGTGAGATCTGAGAAAATCTGAATAGAAAACACGCAGAAGTTATGTGTTTTTCCACCTAAAAAGTTGAGTCGTGTAAACTGTCTGCTTAAGTGGCACAAAACTTCTTCTATATTCCTTCTTGCATGAAGACAGAAAGGCAGATGATTGTTTTAATTTATTTTTTCCTTATAAAGTTTTGAATCACATAGATCGTAATTAAACATAACAAACTATGCTAGCATTTAATACTAATATGACAACCAAAGACAACAAATTTATATTAAAAACTTTTGTACACTGACAATAATTGCAAATGTGTACCTAATGACAGCTTGACATTTATTTAAATGTATTTTGCTGTTTCTCGATATTACATAGCTGTTTGGAACTATGTGATGCTATTTTTTACATAGATCTTATGCTAATTTTTCTCGAGAGAATAAATCACCTATTTGAGTAATATGCATCTTATATTTCTTCTACAAATGAAATTTTATTCCAGTCAGTCATCCATGCCACAAAGTAAACAAGATATCGAACTGGCTTATGGTAAGATTTTAAATTTTACTTAATCTTTTTCATTCAATGAAACCAGGCAAAGACAATATCTGGCTTTCCCTGAATAAACTCTCTGTAAAGCCTTTAAAATTACAAAGACAGTATTATAAACATTGGATTCTCCTGCCCTGATAGTAGCACCAGATATCTGCTGGTTTACATAAATAATCTGAAACTCCCTCTGTTGAGGAGGGTAACAACTGAAAAAAAAACATCTACCAAATGTCAGGGCTGACAACTGTTCCTTAGTGAAATATTCTGCTGAACTTTTACATTTCTACAGTAACTTTAAACAAGTAGTGGCCAAAAATCATAGATGTACACTTTCTGCTAAATTAAACTCGGCTTCACTGAAGTCTGAAATCAAGTGGTTTTAGAACATATTGTTATATTTTTCTTCTGGAATATAAAAAATGTTTTTCTCCCCCATTTAAAAGGTATTCTCATTTTAGATACATCATCACCATTTCCCATTCTTCATCTGTCATAATACTACATACAAAACCAACTTTCCTTAAGCAGATTTACAGTTTAATTACTGTAGACATGCTATTGAAAACAATGAAAACATGCCATTCTGTAAATCACTATTATATGCTATATACTATACATTGACTGCAAATTCATCACAAAGTGTTACTAAATAGTCAATCTTCCAGTTAAATTTTATAGCACAGTAAAAAAATGTAATAACCCCTTGTTAGTTAAATACTAATACGCTGCTGATGATAATGGTATAAGCTGTTTGGCCACGGTCCTGGGCAAACCGCTCTAGTTAGCCCTCCTTGAGCAGGGGGCTTGGACAAGATGACATCCAGAGGTCCCTTCCAACATCAACCAGTCTGTGATTCTGTGATTCTGTGATTAAGGGCCACAAGTACAGTGTAACTGTAACCGAATTACAGTGCTCAGCTCCTGTTTTTCAGATGTTTTCTAGACTCTTACTGCCTGATTGTAAAGAGAACATCCTTTAAAGACATTCCTACTCACACAGACACAGTATTATGTGACACAATGTATATGAAACAGTAAGTGGCAAGGACAGCATACACACAAAAGGTTAAACTTTTGCATACAAACCCAAATAGTGGCATTTCCTGAATGACAGCATAACCTTTAAAGAGTTTGGTAAAACAGAATGTGTCTGACATATGTGTTGTAATGAGAAAGATGCCTAAAAGCATAATTAGTGTTAAAAAAAGAAATACACTCTTCATGAGTTTTATGCATATCAAGTTGCACTGAACATCACTGCCCTTTTTATTACTTTGGATATTATTATGACTGAAAAAACCACTATTGTATAGCATTTAATAAGTTCTGTCATGGCACACTGTGCTCACATTCAAAAAGTATACAGAAAAATGAATGCATCTTCATAAAAAGGAAAGAAGGCAAATATTCCCAAACTTCCACTCATTTTAAGTTAACAACACATCTGCTGTATTTCCACGCAGTTGCAGACTAACAGCTATTATTCCTGGAAATGAACTATTACTGGAAACAAAGTTTTTCTGTATGTCTTAGTGGCAAATTACTTAATCTAACAAAATATCAACCAACTAGACTTGCTGGTCTTTTACGGACTTCAAATTGAGGGATGTGTAAAATCAAGAGCTGCTCTTTTTTCTCCACGAAGCCTTTTTATCACCTAAAAGAAGGTTCTACACTTCTAGGCTAGACTAGAGGATGAACATCCAAGCTAAAAGCTTGTTTTTCTACTTTAAAAGTGAGAGTCAGTTTATCGTATTTTAATATTGAAGGCTGGAGGAGTAGAGGAAGCAAACTGGTACCTTCAAACACAGCTGTAGCTTTGGGTGTAAAAACTTACCGGGGGGGCTGTCAGAGTCCTTATTAACACACACTCTGTTTACATGCTGCTGGCTAGAACTTGAGGGCATCTTGCTCTCCAGTGAAAGGCAGAACATTTCAGCAATATTTTCATGTGCACTCTACAAACTGGAACGGTTTGAATCTCTACAGGAGGTAATGAAAGTCGGCCTTCGAAAATATGTCACCTAATTCTACAATACTCATTTTGACATGATGCTTAATTATTTTAACATAGGCTTTTCACTTACCACTTCACTAGTAACTAGATTCAGTGTGGTATGCTAAAAAATACTAGTATAGATCTTTTCAAACCTGTCTGAACGCTGTTTCTGTGTACTTTCACCTGACATTCCCTAGGGGCAAAAGAAAAATGGAACCTGTTCATAATACAGAATATTAATTATAAGCACAGCAGTTTTGAAGATAAAAATATTGAAAATAATGCAGAAACTGGGAAACAATTAAGAATTTTTTAAATTTCAGGAAATCAGATGACTGGTATGCTTGCCATTTTGGATCAGAAAGTTTGGAGCAGGTTTTAAAAAGCAGAGAGCTTGAGGGGTGGATCAAAGCTGTCTGTAGTTGTTAGAAAGATAAAGAACAGTTCACTATGAAAAACTGTATTGTGGGATGTGTATGAGGAAGGAGGCAGCAAGAATCAGATGATGAAAATCACAGGAACATACAGTTCATACATCACTCCCCACAGAACCCTATGTAATTAAGCTGTGATTCAACTTTTGGTTTCTTTTTGTCTTTGTGGATAATAAACTTCTGCTGTTCGGAAAAACGGTTAATTTATGGAACAAATTCAGTGCCTGAAATATTAGCTGATTAAGTTTATTGCCTAAAATATTAATTCTTAGAAACGTAATTCTTTTAAATTTCAACACTTTCAGCAAAACTTACATTCACTATGGATTCTTTTGTCTGAGCCATATCAGAAATAACTCCATCTGTAACAATGAGAAGAACAAAATACTGGGAGCCATCTTTTACTGAAGCAGCATATCTAAGGAAAGAAAAAACAACATTATAAGAGTAAAAAACCCCTTTGTACAAAGGAACTAATATGAAAACAAGCTGTATTTTAAAAATTTGACTACTGAGGACTAATAAAAACAAAGAAACATGACGCAGTAGATTACAAAAGGAAAGACATTCATAAGATGGACAATCTACTTTTAAATGAGAACACAATATTAATAATCGGCATGTGCTGAACCAGTGAAAAACGGGAACTGTATCACTACCGAGAAGAGCACAGACAGCTTCTGCTTTACAGAATCCTGAGTAGTTAGAAAGCCTGAGTTATTTAACAGTTATTACCTCTGGGGAACACAGTTTGGTATGAAGGGAATATATTACTGTAGTGGAGGGATTTATAGCACAAATAAAATTTATCAGGAATCAGGACGTTGCATAAATATTACATTAATTTTTTTTGGTCTTACAAAATCAAGTTACTTACTGTTGACCACGCTAGCACATTTATACTTCCCACTTAAGTGCACATTTGTAAAATGGCTGAACATGCATCCTGCAAACTTGGCTTAGTTATTCATCTCTTTGCACCACCCACAAATGTGCTTTCAAGACTCAAGCTTCACCCTATGCTGTACACAAATACAAGACAAAACATATCCAGTGCCATTCCAGTCCTGCCTCAGAGGAAGGACTCAAGAAGCAGCTGCTCTTTGAAAATGAGCAGCTTTTGAAGATTTTGAAAGTCCTGAAAGACAGTGAGTCTGTAGAAGCCCGCTGAACAATATGGCCTGCATGCCAGAAACTAAGACTTCAGTTCATTTATCTTCAACTCCCAAGGGTCAGAGTGTCCTATATAGTTAAAAACTTTATCTGTGTGGAGCCGGCTGCTCCACTTGCTGCTTCACATGACAGCAGCCAATATAGTTACTACTTTTATGAAGACTCTTGGTGCTGTGAAGGAGTCAAACAGAACTTTTATTACAAAGTGGCAATGAGTAGTATGGAGAGCAGGACAAAAAAAAAAAATCTTAGTCTCCGTATGAACACTGTGGAATATATGCCCAAGTACAGAATAAGACTGTCAAAGAACTCACTATCTTATCAATCACTGAATATGAAAGGTCTGCATCACTGAATAGGAATTGTTCTAATGATGCTCATGATGATTGCATGTGCTTAGAAAATTCTAACTCTGATGTTACACAGTGCATTTGCAAGCAAGTATTGCCAATAAATAAGATGCTGTAACTGCAACATTTGCAAGAGTTTGGAAGAATGTATGACTCATGCAAAGCCCTTACACTCCTCCTCCTCCTCTCCCCAGGATACAGATGGGTAGAAAAGCCACGCAGACAATGAGCCTATTGAATATCTTCTATTTACATGCTGGCAGTAGGGACTGATAGTTAAATATCTAGATTAACGAGACCTACTGTGGAACACGGTTTCCCTACCATATGGAGATTTCTTTTATCTCTTTTTTTTCCCACAATGCTTACATTCTTTTCATTGATGTCTGCCGTGACAAAGGATGATGAAAGAGTAAAATAAAAATTCATTATCCTTTCTGAGCACTTAATACTGTCTCCACACCTACACTGAAGAAATGCAATAGAAATTTGGTTTATTTATATTTTTCCACAGAATAAAACATTCTGACGTCTTTTGCAGGAAAGATCTTCTATGAGGAGGGGAGGTAACAGAAGACACTAGGTAGAATCTGGTGTAGATAACTCCCTAGCTAGAGGAAGGATAATAAACTCATTATCTGCTTAAAGAACTTCTAAAGAGTTGTGAGATCACAACGGGATAGTAATATCTGTCATATTTTCCAGAGATTTCATCAGAGGCATATTTTTAAGTATGAGGGATGTGGGAAGAAGGAATTTCTTTGAGACTGAAGGTAGGTTCCAAGAGTAACTGCAGCTAGATCATAATTTCTACTACTATGTCTATAAATCAATAGAATAGCCAAGAAACTGCACACTGAAGGAAAATTTTACTGAGAGCTGGCCTGGTACATGAATTGTATTAAGGATGATCATGCATCAGAAATCTTCATGAAGATACTTAGATTTTCCACTATAATGTAGTGTGATTTGCTACCAGAAGGAGCTCCCAAAGTTTGCAACCACTTGATATTTAGACAGAAGTTCAGTGGAAGAACTACATATGATGGTGACAGGCTTCTGTGATTCTGCAAAAGCTGACAAGTACTCCTGAGAAACAACTGGTAAGAAAAGGAACTCGATTTATGCCAATGCTTTGATGGTACTAAATAATGAATTTCAATTTTAGCAATGACCAGGAGGCTTGAGGTTAATTGTCAAATCCTGAACCCGCCAGCTCAGCTGATACAACAGTTCTAAAGAAGAAGAAAGAGCGAGAAAAGTCAATTGGATCAATTTCCAGTTAACATGGCTAATGCAGACACAGAATGCCACATGCATGGAATTCAGCTGTCATAAGGATTGGCATGTTTCCTCATAGTCTGAAAACTGCTACCGGAGAGAACCTGTCAAAGGGAAGATTAAAAGGAGACAGCTAGTTGCTGAAGAGAAGCAATTGAATATACATGTACACAATTTGAATTGTATGATTCAAAGATGGAACAACTAATCCTAATGATAAATAATTGAAACCAACTATCTAGCCATGCTGGGGTGCACAGAAAATTCTTTGCACCATAGAATTAGCAAATTATTTTTCACTAGGCCGTAGAACTAACAACAGCAAGAACAGATAGTAAATAAATATTTCTTGCTACAACAACTATTTTGCAAGCTCATAAATAAACATTAACAGTACAATGATTTACACATCCCTACTGTTTTATTTTATAAACATTAGCTCTTTCTCTGTATCCATAAATAAAATAAAATCTGTTCAGGTAGTTACTCAGCTAAATTATCTGAGCTATATCACTTTTCCTATACCAACACATGGAGGGATACCGTAAGTCAAAATTTTCTCTGCCAAAATAAGGCAAATTATCTTCCTTAAGAAAATTCTACAATCACAAGAAGGGTTTTGCTTTGAGAAGTTAGATGAGGTGTTTCATAACAGCACTGTGGCTCCCCAGCGGTGGCTGCTGCACTATTGCCTTAACAGTACCACTGCCAGCTGGGAGCTGTTGCCACAGAGAGACTTAGAAAATTGTGTTGACCTTTTGGACATTTTGAGATTAGACGAACTACACATGCATTAAAAAACTGTATTTTATAAATTTTTTGATAGATTTATGGCTTTTCTGTAAAGCAAAAATTCTGTGCTCCAAAGGACAAAAAAGGAACATGGCAGAATGATCTCACAAAAGTCTTCTGCCATTATGATTCCTCCTAAGATTTTAACACAGGGTGGATCAACTGGATCACTTGTATTTATTTTTAATCAGTGATGAAATTCTGCATAATACTAGTACATGGTCTTCTAATCTATTCAAAAGTACAAGTTAATCACGTTAAACAGAATAAACAAAACAACTGTAAATACCTTTTTCAATGTTTAGCAACTGTTGGCCTTTTATATATGATAGTTATACTGACAATAAGAAGTTTCTGAGAAGTACCCGCTGGGATGCTTACCTGGCTACATGATTAATTACAGGGGCAAAGTTTGTTGGTCCATAAAGCTGTACAGATTTTAGACTCCTGTAATATGCCTCCATTACACCATCAATTCCATGACAGTATGGATTTTGAGGGTTTCCATTCTAATGAAAACAAGAGACAATTAATCACTAAAAGTAATTATGAAGCAAAAATCATGTAGGTTAGTGAACACTACCCACTGTACATTTCTAAATGGCAAAGACCTAAGCATTCTAGGATCTCTGCAGAGAGAGTTTACTACAAATGCTTAACGTGAGTGTCATGGCTGGTTGTGAGTGTTAACTGCCTAGGGAAGGAGATTCTAGCAGCCTCAAGTAATATGCAGTCTGAATCACTGGAACTGGTTCCTAGACATAAATACCATCTTAACTGGAATTGAACAGTCTTTCTTACATGCAACAGTAAAAGGCATTTCCCTGTGTGGATTTAAGGTATGAATTACAGGGCAGACGTAAAACTGGAATCATGCTTAGGAACACAGTTCTGACTTAATGATTTCTTATTTTAAAAATGTGAAAAAAGAAACGGTAGCCAGAGCCTGATGTTCATACACTATGTAAGTATAAGGTAAACTATAAACTCTTCATTGTTTTGGTACACTGTTCTCCATTGGAAAACTGTTTTTCAGCCTGGTATAAACAGATGAAGAAAGCATCTTATTCTTTGGGAACCCACTGAAATGGCTGAGACTGTAAATTCTTTGGGTATATATTTTACTCCATAATGACACTATAATGAGGACACATATTTAGAGATGACAATACAAACATATAAACTAAATCTCAGATTAATGACCCATGTCAAGCCAGACAAATGACCCACGTAAGACTTCAAAACCTTTCAAATCACTTTACTCTCCTTCATGTGCCAACACCTCATCAGTTTAATGTGCCAGTATCTCATTCTGAGGTAGAGTATATCTCCCTGAGAATCTAGAAAAGCACAGGAGATTTTTCACGGAATTGATCTGGAATGTTAAGAAAGAATACTGAAAACACTGCTTAGCATTAAATGGGAGACACTTAAATATGTTTATATATGGAGGAAGGAAAAAAAGGCTGTTTTTTCCTCTGTAAAAGCACTGTAATGCCTCATGAATTAACTGAATTAATTATTTTAGAAACAACTTTTAAAACTGAAAGTAGCCAGGAATAAGTCCACTGTTTTAATATCCTTAAGATTATATGTACATTAGAACCTGCTATATGGAAGTCCAAAGAAAGTTGGTGACTCAAATGAACATCTGCAATTGCACCTATTTAAATTACTATCCATGCTGAAAACCTTTCCTTGAGATAAGACATGTGGCATTGTTTTCTAGCACAGGCTAAGAGAAGAAATACACATCTACAATCACCAGTCTTCTGCCACGTCTTTGCTGCTATCTAATTAAAACTCTCCTGATAAACCTACACTTGCTGTAATTCCGATAACTTTATCCTACTCACAGAAAAACAAAAAAACTCAAAAGTAGAGAAACATCCACACTAATCACAAGCATCATTATAACACACCAACCTTTCTGAGAAATCGTGTTAGATTTTAGTTTTGTAATTTAACTGGCACATAGATCAGTCTCAGATTTGTTTTGCTACCTCAGCTTATAGTCCACTTAGTTATCTCTGTCTCTAAATTAGCAGCCTGTAAAAGATAAAGAGATCCCAGAAAATGAGAGAGAACAATAACAATAATAATGAAAGATTATCTTGGATCATGATTCACTTGCTTCTTAAGATAGATTAGCTTCAATCTAAAGTCTTTCAAGCATCTGTTCCTCATGCTTCTACAGCTGAGGTTAAAGATGATTACTTTTCTTTGGCCTACAGGGACTTCTTCACTCTGGATTTCTGTCAAGAAGTTCACTATGATGAAAAATTTTGAAATAAGCTTTTAGACAGAAGAATTAGCACATTTTCTGTACTTTACCTGTCCAGTGATTGCTTAAGACTGCAACCTTAATTTCCTAAATTCTGTTGTAGTAAAGAGATTCAAACAATGTATGAATATTTATTTACTTACCAGTGCAAATTCATGTGATACTCTTCCATCTGGAGGCAGTCTGGCTCCAAAGCCTAGAGCTGGGAACATTTTATCACTATCATAGTCCTGAATTATTTCACCTACTGCTTTCAGGGCCATGCCATAAGCATTCAGCTGATAGGGATTCATGTAGTGCAGTGAAGTAGGCTGTGAAGGGTTACCTGTAGAAACACGGATCAGATATACTTTAAAACTGAATCACTTCAAATTATTTTCTCTTAAAAATAATAGAAATCTAAGAAAGCAGAAATTGAAAAGATCATGAAAAGAAAACGGAACTTATTTCCTGTATACATAACTGTGGTTATAGCAGGTAAAAATGTAATGTTATGTATATATTTTAATAGATTAACAGTAGTAGCTGTAAACCTTTCAGCATCGAATAGGTAGGAAGAAACTGTGATTAGACTTGTAAATTTGTGTCATTTTATAATATGATACACACTTTTAAGATGAAATTTACAAAAGTATTTTGACGTTCTGAACGCAGCTTTGGAGGAGGATCAACTTATCTCTGCTTCACCCCGCTTCAGCCTTGCTCCACCTGAAACTCCTTTCTTTTGCCCCTCTTAATGGGGTCTTCCAAGTTAGCCAGTTTTCTCCCAGCAATAATAAAGAAGCAAACAAACAAAAATAAATCAGAAAGTACACAAATATTTGCAAATTGCTCTTATTTACTAAATTTTACATGTAGTTTCTTCATTTTACCTATTCTGTTTGCCCTGCTTGGGGCCTCTAGTCTGTTGCTCAGCAAAATGGAACCCTGATTCCGCGTGGTGCCATGCATACAGACAATCAATAACACAATGAAGTTAAGCAGAATACTGATATAGATACATACACACACACATATGTACACTTCAAACTGAACACAGCATATACATACACAAGATGTTTATTCTTACCATTTGAGGCTGTGAAATCAATAGCTACTGTGAAATTGATTTGGGTTCTGTAGAAAAAGCAAATACAAATCTTATTAATAGTTTTACTGTCATGTGGAAAGGCAAACAAGAGATGATAATGTTGTTTGTGGACAAACTCTGGGACAATGACTTTCTAATACAGGAAATAAACACTGAAAATACTCTTTTATAAGTTCCAGCCAAGTGCTACACAACACTGTTTTATTAACACACTGCAAACAGTTACTTTACTCTGTCTTTCCTCTTTTCATTATTTATGAAAAATCCTGAATCGTTCATAAGGTTATTAAGATCTACAAACATTATTACTTCATTTTCAACAGCAATACTGATATTTCCTTGGACATATTTTAGCCCTAGTCATGGAAGACTTTGACAAGAGAAGTAGGGTTTTACTAATCTGCTCCTTTCCTTAACACTAAAACTGTGTCTTCATTCAGAACATATTTGAAATCATACTATCCATAAAATGTTTGGACAGGATATTATAGGTTTTGGCAGTGGATTTCATTCATGTGGACACAGTCAATACTTGGAGTGAGCATATCAAGGTAATTCTTGGAAGACAAAAGTAAAATCTGGAAGCAGGAGTATTTAGCAGTAGCTGCATAAAGCCATTATCATGCATAGATCAATTGTTAGCATAGAGTTACAGTCAGAAAAATTAACCATTAATAGACTTTTACAGGGTGACAATCCAATTAAATGCAGTTCTGTTCCACAACTTCCTTCAGGATGAAATACTGTCATTCTGGAGATAATCTCTTAGCTAGTAAGACTCTATCAGGAAAAAGAGTTTGTATGAATTTGAAAATTGACTTTTTGCTCTGATCAAGTATTTTACATCTTCCTTCAAATTTCTGTCTCAGTGTGTGCAACTGTGAATTTAATGACCAAATTAGCAAAGATTAAACCTCTTTGAAAGTTAATAAACAGACTTAACTCATGCACGTTTAGACTGAACACCAACAATTTGACACCTGGCTTTGCAGTAGTCGTTTTACTGCTTAAATAACCTGACGTGCCCAGAGAAAATACTATTTATTTCATAAAAAGCTGGGTATGAAAAAACATTTTATCATATTGATCAAGGCTAACACAAACCAAGCTAGGTTACGGACAGTATCAAGAGGAATCATGCAGTTCCATGGAACTTGGTCAGCCCAGAATACATCTAAAACTGCTGTGGCCTCTATATGACTTGAACAGAAAAACAGCGAAAGCTGCTTCAATCTCCGAAAACTTCAGAGACCTAAGATTTATGAGAGAAGTTTTCTGCCAATACTTCTGCATTCTGCTTTATGCAGTTTCACCGAAAAATATTTTAATGTCATGAAAAGTCAGATCTTGTTTGATCTGTACGCGAAATTCAGGCCCTGTGGCTTCTTAATCACAATGCCCTTCTGCACTGTCAGTTAGTTGTAAGAATAAAGATCCTAAAAAGTGCATATCAACTACTTTTCTAACACCATCACTATAGTGTGCAGAAAAGCTGTCTTCCTCAGATAAGAACAGGTTAGGAAAAAGAGCAACAAAAAAGTCTAATATAACACCATTTCTAGTTTTATGCTTAGAGTCCTTACTGGAACTGCCAAGCAAAACTGCTTTGGGGCTATAATCACTCTGTACTTAAAATTTAAGGGCTTTGGTGTGGTGCAATGTTTGAAGAGTAGAACAAGACTTCTCCAAGCACTACATGTCAGGTACGTCAAGAACAGAAATCTTTCAGTGTGCTGAAGAATGTGCCACTGAGGAAAAAGAACCTCAAACAGCATTTCCTCTGTGTAAGAACAGCAAAACTTATTTGTAAACTCATTTCCTGGATCAGCTATTCTGATCCCATTGGTAAAAAGAAATAGAGTTTTGTAGATTTTGAATTCAAGACAGAAACAAGAGAAAGCACAGTAAAAGAAGATTACAAAGGAAAACTGCTAGTAAAAGAAAAAAATATGGAAACTACATTTAATGGCAAAAAGAACAAAGCCAATTTTCATGTGGCTACAGGTAGTGACTGACAGCATCAGTTTCTGAAGTATTCCTCAAAGCGGTGTATCTCTGTTAAAGTATACTGTTCTGGACAACAGAAACCCATCTGGTAAACTAGAAAAACTCTCTCTCTCATTTACAATCCAACATAATCTGGACTATGACTTCTGTCCAAGCAGAAAAGTATATGTATGACAGTGTCTGCCAATTTGACAACTATAAAAGTTGTGACATAAAATAAGATCAAATCTGATATCTACACCTCTAGAATTTGTTCCCATCTGTATGTACATTTCCAAGACACTGCTACAGAAAAACATACAAGAACTTAAACCAATTACTTAATTTCAACCATTTATAGATGACTGTATATAGATTAGAATTCAGTTTCCTAAATATAGGCTCCTAATATTATTTTAAAGCCTGCAGGGTACTTACTACACCATGGAAATTTTTGGGCATCTAAAATGGCATTAAATGCCTATGTAGTTCAGGAAACTGGATCCCACTCAATGCAGCTGTCACTTTGTGTTATGGATTCATGACCACAGAGAACATCATTGATGTCTTGCAGAGGACCAGGAAAGCTAGAACAAACTCTGTTAGAGCAAACCTGCAGTGTGATCGCCCTGTGTTTTCAATAACCATTTTGTTACATATATCATAAAACACGCACATGGAGAAAAGGAGGCTGAGGGGAGACCTTATCGCTCTCTACAGCTACCTGAAAGGAGGTTGTAGTGAGGTGGGTGTCGGTCTCTTCTCCCAAGTAACAAGAGATAGGACAAGAGGAAATGGCCTCAAGTTGTGCCATGAGAGGTTTAGATCGGATATGAGGAAACGTTTCTTCACCACAAGGGTTGTCAAGCATTGGAACAAGCTGCCCAGGGAAGTGGTTGAGTCACCATCCCTGGAGGTATTTAGAAGATGTGTAGATGTGGCACTTAGGGACATGGTTTAGTGGTGGACTTGGCAGTGTTAGGTTTAGGGTTGGACTCAGTGATCTTAAAGGTCTTTTCCAACCTAAATAATGCTATGATTCTATATCAGAAAGATCCTTCTGAATATGATCTCATGGAAAAGAGACATAGACATCTAAGTTACACAAGGCACCAGTGTCCTCTGAGGAAAGGAATAATAAATTGCAAAAAGGTATAAAATACAGGGCAACCCTTGTAGTCAAAATTATCAAAATGTGATTAAATCTTTTTTGAACACAAACCTGGGTCTGTCAAGCTCAAACAAACAATTCAACTTCAAATTAGTACCACTGGATAAAATATTTTCAAAAGCAGCTGTAATATTGTGAACATGTGTCTTTTGTGTGAAAGATTATTATGAAAAGGTATTAATTTCTCTACTGTTTCAACAAGACCGAAAAAGTTAACCAGCCATATCTAAAAATTAATCCAGGAATGCTAATTTAGAAGCTGTGCATCATGAAAACATTGGATACAACTACTTTGGAAGCAAATGGGATGACTGGAAAATTTATATGGATGACGTTTTAAGAAGTATTTTCATGGTAACACGTTATCCTGGAATCAAATTAGATGTAATGAATATACCTGAAAGTCTACTGGCCTGTTTTTAGTTCTACTACATATTTCATTTCTTTTTAACAGGCTAATTCTCAGGTTGTATTAAGTGCATATTATTAGGTTACTGTTATTAACATATTAACCTTCATCAACAATAACATATTTTTAATGAGATTATGGATTAATGTATTTTGTGTAAGGGACATTAGCTGAAAAATCATTAATTCAGAATAAGGTCAAAATTCTAAAAAGCATATAAAATTGAAGTCTTTGAGACAAATTCAGGTGCCCGATTAAATGATGCAAATTTTTAAACACATCAAACCAACAAAATCTATTGTTTCTGACTAGGGAATTCTTTGGCTAAGGCTATGTCCATGCTTTCCCAGCTCTACAGTTCTCCAAGGAGCTACATTAAAAGCTCATGACACCTGCTGCGTCAGTGATGCTGCCAGGTCATGAGGCTTTTGCACGAGAGCTGCTAAAACATTGATACATGGCTAGGAAGGCTGAGTTGCTGAATGTCCCGTCCCAAGGGAGAACTCAGGTAGAATATCCACGCACAGCAATGTGCCTTATGGATTCAGAGCTGGATAGATCACTACTACTCTGCCAGAATTTAGTTAGCATAGAAAACCACGATCTATTTGATACCTGGACAGATGATTTTACCCTATACTACCACAAGAAATGAAGAAAGTATCCTAAAAGGAACAGTTATCTTCACCTCACAACCACAGAGCATCCATTTTGTTTGTTTCTTTGGGAGAGGAAGGTGAAACCTTTAACAAGAGTTCTGTCAGCACTGATACACATAAGGGAACAAATTAAGCCTGGGTGCAGCTTTTGACTAGGCTTGCTAACATTTGTAATGATTAGGTTCTTTTTAAATAGTACATTGGAAGAAAACATGAATTTCCCCCTGTGGCTTCAGAGTGACAACCAGCTGGTCTGTTAGCAGGGGGGTGTTGTAGAAGGTCTGAGGACCACTTACTGCGCAGAACTCTACAACGGAGCTAATGCAGTTACTAACACTACCAAGAGGCTGTATCCTCTCCATGGCATTTAAGTCCCCAGTGACAGTAATTTTAATAATTTCCCCTTTGCAGATGCTTGTTTGGCCAAATGCAGTATCAACATAAAGAAGATTTTTCTGATAAAAGCTCTACAAGATCTTCCTCTTATATAACCTTATTACTCATTATTCTACAAGGATACAAAAAATAAATGGTAAAGACTCCAAAATACGTAGCTATGGCAGCCCGTACGTCATAACTGTATCTCACACCAGGTCTCATCTGAACATCAAATATGCATGCCATTACATTATATGGTGTACTGGTTGGATGAAAATAGCTGTCATGAAAGAAGTTCTAAATTTCCATTTTGACCATCAATGACTCAATACAGTTCAGTTAAAAATGTATGTTCAAAGCCTTTAGAATCCAAACAACACGTGGGTGTTCATTTACAAAAACATGGATGAAGGTAAGGCTTTA